CAATCTCCAGATGTCAGGTGATGCTCCCACCTCAGCCTCTTGTGTAGCTGGGACTACAGGCACCCGCCACCACACCCGGCTAAGTTTTGTATTTATTGTAGAGATAGAGTTTTGCCATGATGCCCAGGCTGGTCTCGAACTCCTGGGCTCAGGTGACCTGCCTGCGTTGGCGTCCCAAAGTGCTAGAATTATAGGTATGAGCCTCTGCGTCAGGCCCAAGTTTCTTAACTCTGAGTTTTCTATGCCTTCTGTCTGTGTAGCCTTATCTCTTAGTATACACTTTCTACCTTCTTCCTCCATCCCCACTCTTAACTGCACAAACATACACAGCCCCAAACTGTAATAAGCCATGTGTAGGTCCCTAAATAGACTTCATGTCATATATATATGTATAGGCATGTGTTTGTGTGTGTGTATATATATATATGCCTTTGTTTGGTTGGCTGTTTCTATCCAGAATATTCTACCCCCACCTCTCTGGCAAATAGTTTTTTTTTCCTTTTTTAGACAGAGTCTTGCTCTGTTGCTTAGGCTGGAGTGCAGTGGCGCAATCTCGGCTCACTGCAACCCCCACCTCTTAGGTTCAAGCAATTCTCTGTCTCAGCCTCCTGAGTAGCTGGGATTACAAGCGCCCACCACCATGCCTGGCTGATTTTTTTGTATTTTTAGTAGAGATGGGGTTTCACCATCTTGGCCAGGCTGGTCTTGAACTCCTGACCTCACGAGGAGTCATGAGGCCGCCTCGTACCTCCCAAAATGCTAGGATTACAGGTGTGAGCCTCTGCGCCTGGCCACTTTTTTGTTTTATCGTTTTTGCATATACTTGTCTTTTAAGACTAGGTTGAGGAATCTATTTCTTCAGTCATTCCTTTTATTTTTGTCCTTACTCTACGTTGTGTAGACTTGTAGCGTAATACTCATTATGCTTTGGGGCAGCCATTTGCTTGCATGCCTGCCTCATTCTACTAGTTTAGAAAGTTGTTGAGGGCACAGTACTAGGTTCTCTCCTTTTTTTGTATTTCCGGTACCTAATATGTTGCTTGTGTCAGGCACAGAATAAATTCAGATTTTTGTCAATTTTTTTTTTTTTGAGATGGAGTTTCGCTCTGGTTGCCCACGCTGGAGTGCAATGGTGCAATCTCACTTCACTGCAACCTCTGCCTCCCGGGTTCAAGCGATTCTCTTACTTTAAGCCTCCTCAGTAACTGGGATTACAGGCATGCACCACCACACCCAGCTAATTTTATATTTTTAGTAGAGATGGGGTTTCTCCGGGTTGGTCATGCTGGTCTTGAACTCCTGACCTCAGGTGATCTGCCCACCTCGGCCGCCCAAAGTGCTGGGATTACAGGCGTGAGCCACCGTGCCTGGCCTTGTCCACATTTTATACATGAAAAAAGGTTAAGAGGTTATGTATTATATATTCAGGGCAACTGAACTAATTAATGAAGCATATAGGTCATATAGGTTGTTTCTTTTTTTTTTTTAGATGGAGTTTCGCTCTTGTCGCCCAGGCTGGAGTGCAGTGGCACAATCTCAGCTCACTGCAACCTCTGCAACCTGGGTTTAAGCAATTCTGCCTCAGCCTCCTGAGTAGCTGGGATTACAGGCACCCACCACCACCCCCAGCTAATTTTTGTATTTTTAGTAGAGATGGGGTTTCACCCAGAACAGCCAGGCTGGTCTTAAACTCCTGACCTCAGGTGATCCACCCGCCTCAGCCTCCCAGAGTGCTAGGATTACAGGTGTGAGCCACCATGCCCAGCTGCATTTAGTAGTTAGCCTGGCCGCATATAGTAGTTGTTTTTTTTTTTTTTTTTTTTTTTTGAGACACAGTGTCACTCTGTCACCAGGCTGGAGTTGCAGTGGCACAATGATCTCGGCTCACTGCAGCCTCCACCTCAGGACTGCTTTCATTAACTATGATACTTCTCATAATTAAAACCATTAGAGCAATGATTCTTTTCTTAGCCTGTGGACTTAGAGCCCCCTAGAGGGTGTTAAGAGTTCCCACATGGAAGTCTACAAAGTCACACATGCATTTTCTGTAGGCTGAATTAATAAGAGTATATATGTCACCATTTAAAAAAATGTACACATATGCCTTTGTGACTAATTCAATAGGAAATCATCTTGGTGAACTAGACATACTGATATCTTTTCAGAGGAAAGCAATATGGAAAGGTATCTCCAACAGTGGAGGAGATTAGAATAACAGCTTTGCATGGTTTGCTGGGGAATCAATAAGGTACAAGAAGGTGTTTTTTAAAAGCAGTTAAATTCAGGTTTCACAGTAATACTTGAAATTTTCCTAGTCCTCAGTAGTTCATTCAAATAAGAGGAGAAAGTTTAAAATTGCAGAAATCGAAATTTTAAATGATTAAATCTGTTTCTCTCAATGAAGGTTGCTTCAAGTATATTTCTAGCTGCTACCATAATATTTAATTCTTAATGAGAAATTTTTTTTTTGAGATGGAGTTTCTCTCTTTTCCAAGCTGGAGTGCAATGGCATGATCTCGGCTCACTGCAACCTCTGCCTCCCAGGTTCAGGCGATTCTCTTGCCTCAGCCTCCCGAGTAACTAGGATTACAGGCATATGCCACTATGCCCAGCTAATTTTGTATTTTTGGTAGAGACCGGATTTCTCCATGTTGGTGGTCAGGCTGGTCTTGAACTCCTGATCTCAGGTGATCTACCCACCTCAGCCTCCCAAAGTGCTGGGATTACAGGTGTAAGCCACCGTGCCCGGCCTTTTTTTTCTTTTTGAGACAAAGTCTCACTCTTTTGCCTAGGCTAGAGTGCAGTGGTGCGATTTCAGCTCACTGCAACGTCTGCCTCTTGGATTCAAGTTTCTCCTGTCTCAGTCTCCTGAGTAGCTGGGATTGCAGCCACCTGCCACCACACCTGGTGAATTTTTGTATTTTTAGTAGAGACAGGGTCTCACCATGTTGGGCAGGCTGGTCTCGAACTCCTGACCTCAAGTGAGCCACCTGCCTTGGCCTCCCAGGGTGCTGGGACTACAGGCGTGAGCCACTGTACCCAACCTAAGAAATTTTTTGCTAACTTGATGGCTGTCTGCTGCCCGGACACACAATATTATGTTTTGTTATCTGTGCCACAGGTATTTCTGTTGTTGATTTAACATTTGTGATATGGCACAAATTCTAGGTTCAAGGGCATAGCTTAAATAATAATGCTGTAAAATATGTGTGCTATTTGTATCAGTTTGTTTAGCTACTAGATAAATAAGAGTAGTAAGATTTCATTTATTACTTTGGCAAATATTTATTCAAGTCTTGCTATGAACTAGGCCTTCTCCTAATCCCTGAAATTACAGCTGTGAGTGAACAAAGCAAACAAGGCTTGGCTCTGTTGTCACTTACCTTCTAGTGGGGAAGCCTTGCAATAAGCACGGTTAACATGCAGGTAGATACCTGTAAAATAATGCTAGATAGGGGCAGTGCTTTTTTTTTTAAAGGCCAGAAGAGGGATTAGGAAGTTATATTTTCTGTTTTAGAAGGAATTGTCTGAGAAGGCCTTTCTAAATACATGTTTGAGTGGAGAGATCTGAATGGAATGAAGATAGCGGATAACCTTTCAGAGAGAGGCCAGCAAATGTGCACACTTTCAGAGAGGGACATGCTTGGCCTGTTCAAGGGACAGCTAGAAGGTAGGTGTTCTGGAGCTGTGTGAACTAGGGTGGGATTGTAGGAGAGGAAATTGGAGAAGTAGCCGGGGGTAGATCTTGTAGGATCTTCAGATTTCATTCTATCATGAAATAAAGCCTTTGGATGGTTTCCAGTAGGGGAATAAAGTAATAAAGTGGTCTGACTTAAGTTTTGTTTTGTTGGTTTCTTTCTTTCTTTCTTTCTTTTTTCTTTTTGAGACCTGTTGCCCAGGCTGGAGTGCAGTGGCATGCTCTCGGCTCCCTGCAACCTCTGCCTAACAGGTTCTAATAATTCTGCCTCAGCCTCCCGAGTAGCTGTGACTACAGGTGTACATCACAACACCCAACTAATTTTTGTATTTTTAGTAGAAACGGAGTTTCATCATGTTAACCAGGCTGGTCTCAAACTCCTGACCTCAGGTGATCCACCTGCCTTGGCCTCCCAGAGTGCTGGGATTACATGCGTGAGTCTCTGCGCCTGGCCGTGATCTGACTTTTTAATTCACTATGCTATGTAGAGAACAGACTTTAGAAGTACAATAAAAGAAGCAGTGAGATCACTTAGGACGTGGTGATTACACACCTCGTAGTGAGAACTGATGTAATTAGCAATGGGGGGATGGCAGGAATTAGTAGTCAGATTTTAGATATATTTTGAAGATAGAATCAATAGGATATTTTGATTGTGATTAGAAAGAGTACAGTCAAGGATAAATCTGGGGTTAACAAATAGACATTGTATTTGAGGATATACACAGGGTTTACAGCAGCTATCTCTGAGCTGTGGCCTTAGGAGTGAGCTTTTTTTCTTTTTGCTTATCTGTATTTACCAATTTTTCTACTGAACCTATAATACTTCTGTAGTAAAAAGATAGAGATTATTTGAAAATTAGAGTTAAAAGTGGTATCAAATGTAACCTATTTTTTTTTTTCTTTTTTTTCTTTTTTTTTGAGAGTGATTCTCGCTCTGTCACCAGGCTGGAGTACAGTGGCGCAATCTCAGCTCACTGCACCCTCTGCCTCCCGGGTTCAAGCAATCCCCCCTGCCTCAGCCTTCTGAGTAGCTTGGACTACAGGCGCGCGCCACCATGCCCGGCTAATTTTTTGTATTTTAGTAGAGACGGGGGTTCACCATGTTGGCCAGGATGGTCTCGATTTCTTGACCTTGTGATTCGCCCGCCTGGGCCTCCCAGAGTGCTGGGATTATAGGAGTGAGCCACCGTGTCTGCCCAAGTGTAACTTAATTCTTAAAGTGTTCTCCTATCCCTTTTGATTTTAGAAAAGAGCTTCAGTGACATACATAAACTTTAAATATTTATCTTTTTACTCTTAGTGATCAGTCTTTGAGCCTTTCCTACACTGAAGATGGTGAAGCTAGATATTCATACTCTGGCTCATCACCTCAAGCAGGAACGCTTATATGTAAACTCTGAGAAACAGCTCATTCAGAGGCTCAATGCAGATGTACTTAAGACAGCTGAAAAGCTGTATCGTACAGCATGGATTGCGAAGCAACAGAGAATCAATTTGGATCGGCTTATCATAACCAGGTAAAGAAATGATTTTCAGGTTTTAAATTTTGTGAACCACTCTGATTCTGTAAATAAATTAGTAACTGTAAATAAATGAATCTATTTCCAACAAAGTACATTATTTAAGATAATTTTACATCAACGTTAAGGTGAGTCTTTGCTTATAATACAGTTTATTTTGATTATTAAATAACTTAGGCACTGTTATAGAAAATTATAACTTAAGCATTGACTTTTTTTTTTTT